CCCTCTCTCTCCCCATCCCACCCCCTTCTCCTAACCTCGATCCCCCTCCCCCCACCCCCCTTCTCATACCCCTCCCCCTCCCCCCCCTTCTCCTAACCTTTCCCTTCTCCCCACTCCCTGTCTCTCCTCCTTCCCTCCCCCTCCCCCTCCCCTCCTCCATCCCCACCCTCTCCCCATCCCCCCCATCCCCATCCCCACCCCTTTCTCCTAAACCCCCTCCCCCACCCCCCTTTTCACCTCTTCCGCAGGGATTATACCAGAAGAAGCACTCCCCCCCCCATCCCTCAGTCAGCATCACGACGGTTCACACCTTCCACTCCTTCCTCCCTACTTTCTCCCTCCTTCCCTCCATCCCTCCCCTCCCCCCTCTCCTACACCCTCCCCTCCCCAACATCCCCACCCCCTCTCTTTCCCCGCCCCTTCTCCTAACCCCTCTCCCCCACCCCTCTCTCCTAACCCTCCCCTTCCCACTCTCCCTCCCTCCCTCCCTCCCTGGTCTCCCTCCCTCCCTCCCCTCCCCTCCACCCCCTTTTCCTAACCCCCTTCCCCACTCCCCCTCTCCCCACTCCCTCCCTCCACCTCTCCCCCTCCACCTCCCTGTCTCCTCCTTCCCTCCCTCCTCCCTCCCTCCCCATCCACATCCCCCCTCCCCTCCCCATCCCCACCCCTTTCTCCTAAACCTCCCCTTCCCCCTCCCCATCCCCCTCCCATCCCCTCCCCCTTCTCCAACCCCTCCCCATTCCCCATCCCTCCTCTCCCATACCCCCCCCTTCTCCTAACCCTCCCTCCCCCCCCCCCCCACCCTCCTCCCCCTTCCACTCCTTTCCTCCCTACTTTCTCCCTCTCCCTTCCCCATCCCCTCCCTCCCCACCCCCTTTCTCCTAGTCACCAGGGATTACACCAGAGAAGCACTCCCCCCCCCCCCCCCCCCCCCCCGTCCCTCAGTCCAGCATCACACACCTGCCACTCAGACGGTGATTCAGAAGGCATGACGGAAGATAATAAAAAGAAAGAAGGAAAAAAAAAGACGAAGAAAAAGGAAAGGAAGAAAGGGAGAAAAGGAGGAAGGGAAAAAAGACAGACGGAGTAAAAAGAAAGGAAGAAGGAAAGAAAAAGAGACAGACGAAGAAAAATAAAAAGAAAGAAAGGAAGGAAAAAAGACAGACGGAAGAAAAATAAAAAGAAAGAAAGAAGAAGGAAAAAGAAAGAAAAGAAAACAAAGACAGACGAAAAAGAAAGAAAGAAAGGAAGGAAGAAAAGACAGACGAAGAAAAGGAAGAAAAGAAAACAAAAGACAGACGAAGAAAAATAAAAAAAAAAAGAAAGAAAAGAAAAAGACAGACGAAGAAAAAAGAAAGAAAGAAAAGACAGACGAAGAAAATAAAATGAAAGAAAGAAAAAAACAAAGACAGACGAAAGAAAAAAAAAAAAAAGAAAAGACAGACGAAGAAAAATAAAAAAAAAAAAGAAAAAAACAAAGACAGACGAAGAGAAAGAAAGAAAAAAAAAGACTGTACGAAAAAAAAAATAAAATTTAAAATAAAAGAAAAGAAAAGAAATACAAGTTACATGTCGAGAAGTGACGTAGTTGGTATTTATTTATCGAAGCGTCACGTTTTCTTTTTCATTCCGATAGTTATTGGCATTATTCCTTCTCCTTCTCTTCCTTCTTGCGGCGCTGACCTGTAATTATGAAGGCTGAGTCACGAGAGAGACGAGAGAGAGAGAGGAAGGGGGGAGGGAGAGGGGGAATGAGAGAGGGAAGGGGGAGGTGAGAGGGAGAGGGAGAGAGGAAGGGGGGAGGTGAGAGAGAGAGAGAGAGAGGAAGGGGGAGGTGAGAGAGAGAGAGAGAGAGAGGAAGGGGGAGGTGAGAGGTAGAGAGAGAGAGGAAGGGGGGAGGTTTGAAGGAAAGGGGGAGAGAGGGAGAGGGAGAGAGGAAGGGGAGGTGAGAGGGAGAGAGAGAGAGGAAGGGGGGAGTGAAGGAGAGGGAGAGAGAAGGGGGAGGTGAGAGGGAGAGAGAGGAATGGGGGAGGTGAGAGGGAGAGGGAGAGAGGAAGGGGGAGGTGAGAGGGAGGGGGGAGAGAGGAAGGGGGAGGTGAGAGAGAGAGAGAGAGAGGAAGGGGGGAGGTGAGAGAGGGAGAGGGGGAGTGAGAGGGAGAGAGGGGAAAGGGGAGGTGAGAGGGAGAGGGAGAGAGGAAGGGGAGGTGAGATGGGAGAGAGGAAGAGGGAGGAGAGGGAAGGAGAGGAGGGGAGGAGAGAGGAGAGAGAGAGGAAAAGGGGAGGTTGAGAGAGAGGAGAGAGAGAGGAAGGGGGGTGAGAGGGGAGAGGGAGGAGGAAGGGGGAGGTGAGAGAGAGAGGGAGAGAGGAAAGGGGGGAGGTGAGAGGTTAGAGGGAGAGAGGAAGGGGAGGTGAGAGGGAGAGGGAGAGAGGAAGGGGGAGGTGAGAGGAGAGGGAGAGAGGAAAGGGAGGAGACTGAGAGGGAGAGGGAGAGAGAGAGGGAGGGGACTGAAGAGTACACAGAGGAGAGGAGAGAGAGGGAGGGATGGGATAGAGAAACAGACAGAACAGACAGAGAGAGAGGGAGAGAGAGCGGAGAGAGAGAGAGAGAGAAACAGACAGACAGATGAGAGAGAGAGAGAAAAAATCAGAGAGAGAGAGAAAACAAAAAAGACAGAGAGAGAGAGAGAAAAAGACAGACAGAACCAGACAGGAACAAAGAGAGAAAAAAAATCGAGAAACAAACAAACAAACAGACAGACAGAGAGAGAGAAAGAGAACCCACAGGGCGTGGCCAAAGGGGTCAGCCCGCCCACCCCTGCCCAGCGCCCTTCCTCCTCCTACACTTCCTTGAGAACTCCTGGAGACCTCCTGGTGGGGGGGGGGGGCGCCGTCGCAGGAGGACCCAGCCCCGGGGAGAGATCGGGGAGATCCCAAGTCGATCTGTTTTTGACCTCGCTTTTCTTATAATTTTCTCTCTCTTCTTCTTCTTCTTCTTCTTCTTTCTGCTTCTTCTTCTTCTTCTGTCAATGGGATTTATTTATTCCCCGCGCTTAAACCGGGTGTGTGTTCCGAGAAAAGAGAGAGGGAGAGGGAGAGAGAGGGAGAGAGAGAGAGAGAGAGGGAGAGAGAGAGGAGAGAGAGAGAGAGAGAGAGAGAGAGAGAGAGAGAGAGAGAGAGAGAGAGAGAGAGAGAGACAGAGAGAGACAGAGGGAGAGACAGAGAGAGAAGAGAGAGAAAGTAAGGATTTTTTTTTTAAATAAAGCGAAGAAGAGAGAGAAAGAAAAGAAGATTTCTTAAAAGAAGATAAAAAGAGAACGGGAAAGAGAGAGAGAGAAAGAAAAGAAGATTTAAAAAGAAAGATAAACACAAAAAACAGAAAGAGAGAGAAGAAAGATGAATAAAAAAGATAAAAAAAACAAAAGGGAGAACGAGAAAGAGAGAGAAAAAGAAAAGAGAATTTAAAAAATGATAAAAATATAAGAGAAAGAAAAGATTAAAAAATAAAACAAAAAATAAGAAAAAGAAAAAAAAAATAAAAAAGAATAAAACTAAAATTAGACTGAGATTCCCCAGTACAACATCTTTTAAAGAGAAAAAAAGGTATTTTGCTTTGGTTCAGACCAGTTCCCGGTGCAGGAAGGGGAGGCTGCAGCAGGCTGGATATGACGTCATAAGGCTGGGCCACGTGATCTCTCAAGCAATTTGATTTCATTCATAAATAATTTTTACGAAAATGGAATTAAAACCGTGGACGAATATTTTTTTTTATTATTTATTTATCTATTTATGTTCATTTAGTTTTAGTTTTTTTTAACTATCATTAGCATTTATTTCTATTTATTTATTTTTTTTTTTTTATTTTAGCTTATCTACGTATTATTATTATTCATTTCTTTATCTTTATTTTTTTATTATTATTTATTTATCTTTTTTTTTTTTTTGCGTTAAAAAAAAGCAAAAAAAAAAAAGGCTAACCTGCAACCCTCCCAAAACGTTTCGTCATGAAATACGATAACGTTTCCAGAGTCATGACAACAATCATAACGATTCGTGGCTGTATCGAAACACGTCACGAAAACGACGATAATAAGAAAATCAAATAAAAGGGAAAAAAAGAGAGATAGGAAAGTGGAAAAAGATAGAAAATAAAGAAGAAATAGAAAAAACGATAATAAGAAAAATCAAATAAAAAGGGGAAAAAAAGAGAGATAGGAAAATGGAAAAGATAGAAAATAAAGAAATAGAAAAAACGATAATAAGAAAATCAAATAAAAAGGGGAAAAAAAGAGAGATAGGAAAATAGAAAAAATAGAAAATAAGAAAACAGAAAAAATAGAAAACAAGATAGAAAATAGGAAGATAGAAAAAGGAAAAAAAAGAGATAGACAAATGGAAAACAAAAACTGAACGATTAAACGCCATTCCACTGGACGTTTCAGATTCTTTTGGAAAATAATTAACTGTGTCAGTAATAGTAATAATAACAATAACATTAGCAAATGATTTATATTATATATATATA